CCCCCCCCCCCCCCCCCCCCAGCCCCCCCCCCCGTCTCGCCGCCGCAGGAGGAGAGGGGTCTGGGAGAGTGCCCGGCCTCTAGCAGCCGTGGGCCCCAGGCAGGTGGAAGCCCTCTGAGCCCTTCCCCAGCAGAGCAGGCTGGCAGGGCTGACCGCAGGGCTGAGGGGACGGGGACAGACAAGTGTCTGTGTGGTCTCAGTCCTGTCCTTGCAGAGTGAGCTTGGGCAGGTGCGGCTGCCCAGGCCTCAGTGTCCCCACCTTTAAAGTGGCAGCACTCTTGGCACCTAATGCCACGGTGACCCCCAGGAGCCAGGAGGCAGTGCTAGCCGCCCACCGGGCCACAGGGACACTAGCTACTGCTGGATGTGCCACCGAGGGCCAAGCCCAGGGTGGGCAGGCGGGAGGCTATCGGCGGTGCAGCCTCGTAGGCCAGCCTGGGTGGAAGGGAGCAGATGAGCAGACCGCGTTACCGCGTGGCATGTGGGTCCGTCGCTGCCATGTGCTGGGGCCCTGCGGGTGGCCATGATGACCCCCACCTCCGACCCTCACACAGCCCCGAGCCGCAGGAGCTGCAGGGGTGCTAGCTGTGCCCCCACCTCCGCCCGGACACGTGTGCGGTCTAACTTGGGAACACACCTGTCGCGGGATCCACAGCACTTGTGCCGGGTTATTTTCGGAGTCCGCTCCGCGAGCTGCTGAGCTGCCCAGCAGCCTGCGGGAGGGAGTGCGGACGGCGAGCGGGGTGCCGCGGGAGGACCTGGGTGCCCAGCAGGCTGGTGAGCGAACCTCAGGAGGCCGGCCCGGGCCAGCCGGGAGCTGGTGGGAGGGGCAGGCGGTGTGGACAGGGCCTGTCTCAGACACCCTGGACGGTCCAGACCCCAGGTGGCAGTCCAGCCCCGCTCGAGAAGCGAACCTCGCCGCACCGGGCTCTCTCTCTGGGGCGGGTATCCACATCCCCTGGGGTCAGTGAGAGCTCGAGGGACACGAGGCAGCTGCTGGGCCCCGGACAACGCCTCGAGGGCGAGAGAGCAGGCTCACCGCGCCCTGGTGTTTCCTGGGCCTCAGGCAAGAGGGAGGCTCTGGGCCTTGGCACCCTGCGACCTGTTCTGGTGACATCCCAGAGCCAGTGCCCAGTTCTGAGCCCCAGAAGGTGCCTCTGCAGCCGTCCAGGCCAGGGTGGAGAGCAGGCCCAGCTTGCTCAGGTGTGCGTACCGGCCGGGCACGGCTCAGGACTGTGTCGAGGACTCAGAGCCCCAGGGCAGGGCACCGTCCCGGCCTTCGGCTAGTGCCTGGGCCCACCAAGCAGATGCCACTCACGGTATGCGGTCTCCCCGAACGGCAGGTGTGGCCCTGTGGCTCAGGAGGGCCAGGAAGGGCCCAGCCTGCTCCCTGACCCCCGGCCCATGCCCGTGCTAAGAGGACTGTGGGAGCTGAGGCCAGGCCAGGACATGCGCCACTTCTGAGACCCCTCGAGGGGGGGCCGTGCGTCTCTACGTCCCCTGGCGCTGGTGCCCTGAGGACCTCCGTGGCCCGCAGTGGCTCCCACAGTCCCTGCTGCAGAACAGCCTGGCCTGGGCAGAGGTGGGGCAGAGCCGGGGGTGGGGGTGAGGGTGGGGCAGAGCTGAGGTGTGGGTGTGGAGGTAGGCAGAGCCGGGGGTGGGGGTGAGAGCGGGGCAGAGCTGGAGTATCAGGGTGAGGACGGAGCAGAGCCGGGGGGAGGGGGGGGGG